CGCAACGTTGATATACGCGCGAAGGGAGTATATGCCGGTGGTTTATATTCTGAATAATAGATCCGAATTTTCCTTGAAGGAACTTTCCTCTCTTTTCTCTTGTTATCCGGGCTTTCGCTCGTAGACAGTGCAGTTCGTCGCGCGCACTCTCTCTTATTCGTCCAACAGTTGAAATACGCGACGATACAATTATCACTACGTCCTTCCTCGTTCTCATTAATATACTTCTATTATTTCTACGTCAGAATCCAGAGTGGAAGCAAAACTCGCGCGGTTAGTTTTAATCAACGTCCGAAAGGACCCACGTCTGTCGTCGAAGCACAATCTCTCGGGATCCAGCGACACGCGAGTCGTCAGGTCTATAAAATCGCGCGCGCACGTTAACAACGCCCAATCTTTGCAGCGTGCAGCCCGATGTTCGCATACACCGGCATCGATCACCGCGCTGCCGCTGTGCCAGAAAGAGCCGTTAAGGAGGGTGGGATGCAAGAGGGGTGCTGGAGGAGCGAGAGAGAAAGAGGGAAGACGCAGGAGTAACGTGGCGAAGACGAGGGGCGACGAGGGGAAACGGCGAGGAACGACAGAGAGAGAGAGAGAGAGAGGAAGGGAGGGAGACACACACATCTATACACACACATACACAGTGTATTTCCCAACCTCTATTGTGTGCGCGTCTCCTCCCGAGGTACATTCGACTAAACTGCATATATGCTGAGGACTGTAGCCGCATGATCTATGTACCGGTGAATTCAACACAGCGACCCGCGTCGCGCGTTACAGGATTTCGCGTCTCCCCACGGCGAAATGACGATCATACGGCGACGCGGGAAACGACCTCCCGTATCCCCATCCATTCGTCCTCCTTCTTCCGCTCTATCTGTCTCCCCATTTACCTTTCTTTTTTTTTATTCTTTTCGCTCGAGAACCAGGTGCCGCGCACCTAAATTCACACGTGGCTGTCGCGAGCGGCGTGGCTGCCCGGAATGCATTTCCATCGAGCAAGGAGCTTTTCTCAAATCCGAGGCGGAATCGCGCGACCGCGGCGGACTCCAGCCGAAGGAGTGCGATTTTCTCCACGACAACAACGTGTGGCGTAATAGCGGTAGATCGTGTAATGATTTGCCCGTGCGAGTTCGCGAATCGTCATGACTGAGAAGTCATGACGCGCGTGAGACACCGAAGAGATCGCGGCTTCTGGCACACAAGAGCATCGTGAGTTTATCGCAGGAAATATTAGTAAATTTTCTATATGTCTTTCTCTCTCTCTCTCTCCCCCTCCCTTTCTCTCTCTTTCTCTCTTTTATAAAATATACTGCTATTCAATATATATTACATTAATATATATAACTTTTTTTTATATTAATATAATATATTATATTCTTTGGAATATATGTTAAAGTATGTGGATTAATATATTGGTAGAGAAATGTATATATACTATACATATATATTATACTGTGAAAATATATAAAAATATAAATATTATATATATATAATCTAAATTATATCAATAAGTTATATTGATTATTATTATTGTTGAACTAGGACGAAGGATATGAGGCTATCATCGACATATTTTCCAGCTCGTAGAAATTTACCAAAGAAATCCCATGATCTCAAGCGACGCTGGAGCTCCGTGAATGTAGGATGCGCGATTATTCGCAATTTAACCGCGAGGAGATCGTTCGCGCGAATTGCATCGCGAGTTTGGAGAAACGACGAAATTCCGTCGCGCGCAAACTTTCCCGATGCGGTTGATTCCCCGAGTACTCGTAAGGTCGAAGCGCTGGAACTTCATTTCGAGTACTCCTGTCAGTAGACGTATATATGTATAGCGCTTTGCCTGGGTCTGAGTGGTACGTGCCGCTTGTTCTCGAAGACAATACCGCCGTTCCCCCGAACATGTAACCTCTCAAGACATAAGGAGAGTGAGGGCCGATTGAACTGCTCGGAAACAACGATAACAAGGACATCGCGATGTACGCGAGGAGAACAGCGGCTCTACATTCAATTGATTATTCGATGTTAATAATGTCCGAGTGCTGCGCGATTATTCGACAACTATTATCGATGGGAACGCTCTTTCTAAGAATACTGTCGAAGACACCCACGACTACACAAAATACGAATATAAATACACGAATAATTTAATATACCTAATCAATAGGAACACATCACACGCGCAAAATAATACGAATGAAGGGGGGAAACCAACTGAACGCCTTCGGCGAAGAGAAACGGAAAGCCGCAGATGCATGTCCACCATTTTCCAAAAATCCGCATTGGACAATTGCAACCGTGCACGGGAAAAGAAAAATTTAGTTGGATCAATTGAATATCTAATGAATTATGAACGAACTAAAATTCCGAGATCGAAATGAATTCTGTTCAAGTTAACCCTCTAGAACCCTAAACATGGATAAAATTCATTCAGACCAGCTTTTCAAATGTTTTTTAAAAAAACGTGTTTTATTTTTTCATTATAACTTCTTTCAACTTCACTGAATTGCAAAGATATTAATAGATTCGTACTCCTCATTGTTTTCTACGTCAATTAAGAAAAGAGGCATTACAATTTTGACTATTTATAGAAGTGTAACAAGTAAATAAGATTTCTAGTTAAACAGAAATTCCATTTGGTTAACCAAAATCTTGTTAATTCGAACAGAATTCTGGCAACTTTAACTTTAATTCGTTCATGTTTCACTATATACATTTTGGCCAATCCAACCAAATTTCTTTTTCCATGTGAATAAGAAAAATCGCATAGGCGCAAATCTGGTCGAGAGAAATCGAGTTCTTTTAATCGACATATATAAATACGCAGGTAAAATAAGATAGCAATAAAAAGAAGGAACTTGAGTTCGCTCGCTCGGACTACGGAAGAGCCGATCGTACGAAAAATCCCACAGTTAAGTGGTTAATGGCTGAATGCGATCCGCGGAGTTTCGCGTGGGCCAGCGGAGATCACGGCGGACCAAGTTTCTGCTGCTTCGAGTGCGCTCTCGGGGACGTATCGGCGGAAACCGGCAACGGTTTCTCCTCCATTGGCTAAGCCACCAAGTTTAAAGTAAGCGGGCACGAGCGCGAAAGACGAAAGCCTCTTGTCGTGTGCTCGAGAAACGAAACTCTTTGCGACGCGGCGGGGTACGCACGTTTCCTTCTACCCTGTGATCCTCTTATTGAGGACACCCACCACTATCGCGACCCTCCTCCCGCTCTTCCTCATCCTGAAAACCACCGCATCCGTCCGACCGTCAGACGCGTGCTCGTCGTGTAATAAGGGCGAGAAGATATGCCGGTAAGGAGCTTATCGCTCGAGAAAAGACCTCGTCGCATCCTTGGACCGAGTCGCTCGCTCGTTTGCTCGCTCCGTTGCTGTTCGCGCATGAGAATATTAAACAAGCCGATATGTTTCGGGGGGAGGAGGAAGGGCAAAGAAAGCTATAATGTGTATCGTTTCGCCGGGAGACGCCGCTTTGTTCGGGGGGAGAGATCGATCGTCGCGATCGGGAGACTAAGTATCGGTCCCGGAGTAGTGATTTCAGAGAGGCGACTGCGGGATCAAGGAATTACGGGGGCGCGAAGGGGTAAGAGAGAACGAGCCAGAGAGGTGCTTAAAGTGAAGAAGACAAGCGGGAAGACGCTGTCGAAAGAAAAACCGATTAGAGGAGCGACTGCCTCGTGAGTCGCGCGCGCGTCGTAATTAGGACGCTCGCGCCGATCCGAAGATCGCATTCGTTGGGAAAAAGAGGGCAAAAGAAAATAAGACCGATAAGCCACGTGCTCGCGACGATCGGAAGCAAAGTAATACCCCGTGACACTTTAATTAATCGGTCGCGACTTCCTGAGCCTGAGAATTATGAGAGCGACGGAGCGGTGCGCAGCTGCTTCAGAGTATTTTGTGAAAATGCAGCAGAGTTCCCGGGAAATATAGTGAGAATCATTGGCGCGATTATTAACTCTCCGCGTACAATCGCGTCTTTTGGAACACACAAGCTGGGTCTGTCAGATCCGAGTAACTTGAATCGCTATAACTTTATTGGAAATCTGTATTTTTCGACACTCTTTTTTTCAGAGACATACGGAGAAAAAAGTTTGGTCATACATTGAGAAAAAAAACACTTGAAAATTTCGATTGTAGGAACCCTGAGAAATAAAGCTTTTTTTCTCTGTGGAATAAAATTCTTTTCTGTGAATAAACTTTACTATATGTAAATAAATTTTTAAGTATTTTTTTCAGTGTATTATCCCGTAACAGATACCATGGGGTCCCAACTAATTTTATTTTCGTGATAATTCCTAAACTATTCACTGTATGGCCCTAATATGTTCAGTATCTTTCGAATAACAGTTTTCAGTATGACAGAAGAAAAGATTATCGAGTTATTTGTAAGTAGCTGTGAATTATATGCATTTGTTTTTCATCTGGGGTCACAGTGATCCCATTGTACTGTTAACGTTACTTTTATAAAAATAATTTTCTTAATCTTCAGCTCAATATGACTCATTCTTCACGCAAAAGAGTAAAAACTCTTGCCTTTCAGTTAGTAGAACCTGAACTTAAGAGACATCTTACAACTCAATATATTTATAAACCATTGCGTTTAATAATTTCATCTATTTTAAAAATTGAAGAAACTGAAAGATCTAAAATTATTTTGCCATCTAGAATAAGATGTAATAAATGACCTAGAAATAAAAATATGAAATCCAAAGAAGTATATGTTAGATTCAATGAACCAGTATGTACCAAATATACAAGCACTATCCGAAACAATTGCATCTAAAAATCCTCTAAGATTTTAATATTGTATTTAATTTAACAATACTTGTTTATATTTTTTATATAATCTATAATTTGTGGACTTAAATTAAAATATAAATTTTTTTCTTTTTCTGATTATTTGTCTTTCAGTGTATTTTATTTCAACACTGTCCACATTGTGTTCATTTTATAATCAGTTAACGTTTTCTTTTAGATTACTGAAAAACTGAAACTGTTATTATATATGTCTAGTTGTAATATAATGTTCGTAAAGTATTATTTTCGAATTATAAAGCGTTTTTCTTTCTACTTTTTATTATCATTAAATAGTTAAAAATAGCAAAAATTTATTGGGGTCCACCGGATCCCACTGTACCTATAGTTTGATTAAAAAGGCATCGTACCTGTTACGGGTTAAACATGAAGAGTTTGGTTGTAATGGACGACGCGTTTTAGTTGAAAGAAACAAAATTTCTGGTACTTAGAATCAAATTTGGGTCATAAAAACCCTAGAAATTCTATATTTTTCAAATAAAACGGTTCGTCCATGAAAGCCAAGCTTCATGTCAATACACCCAAATATTTTTCGCTGTGTAGAAAAGCCGTAAAATAGCAACGCACAATAAAATCAAAATCTGCAAACATATTTGCGCTATTTCGAAATTTTCCCGAATACTTTAAGAAAGCTAATGAATAGATATTCGTTCGATAGAATATTCGTTCGGGTCTCACAGATCCAACGCAGAGGGTTAACATAGAGCGAGAGAGAAAAGACGATGCAATGCACACCAGATCGCCCTCGCGTCCACGAGTATTTTAATTTATAAAAATACGTCCGCGATCACTCCGATCGAAGTGGCATAAAGGATGTCGGAGCGGATCGATGAAATCGAGGACAGAAGACACCGCGTTGCGAGAGTAATTAGGGTAATGAAGGGCGGCCTGTATAATTAGATGCAACGATGGATCGATGGACCGAGCTATTGTAGGGGGATGCAAAATGCTGTTGAGCTTTTTATCGCCCCAGCCGCGTGGAGAGCCCTTTGACCGTGCAGCGCGTGAGCGCGGGGCGGGGAAAGTCGCGCGATACTAATTTCCATTTGGGTCCTGCCGAGCTCGGTCTGCTAATGCAGAGCAACGCCGTCCGTCGCTTCACCACAGGCGGAGAGACGGATGGACGGACGGCTTTCCGCCATTAAAGGTCGCAAAGTTACGACACGAGGTGCGTCTGGCTCGAGACGCGAGAGCACGTCTCCGGGCCGTACGAGATACAAATGCAGCAGCCTCCGATCTCTTACCCCCGCACGTCATGGCCCCGACATTCTCGCGACATTAATATTACCGGATCCGAATTGTCGGCTTCGTGACTACGTATTCCTCCTCGTTACGGCGAGACGGGGTTCGGCGACTTGAGAATCCAGTGCGAATAGGCGGATCCATCGAGTAAATTACAAATTCCACACGCGATCGCGTACAGTAAAAGCACCGAGCATCGTGCAAAACTCGTGTGAGTCTTGTTATTTGGCAAGAATCAAAGTAGGGGAGACCAGGTTTAGAAATTAAACGAGTCAATTGTTACAAAATTTAAATATCTCATGTAAAAAATGGGCGAGCATATTCTTCTTGTATCATGTTAGTTGGATATATGAAATGGCTTATGACAGAAACATCATATACATGTGATATTTACAAAGACTTTTGCAAAATTGGACGAAGTGAATACTTATTAATTTTTACTTATTAATTTTATTAGTTCTTCTATTAATTTTCTTATTAAATTAAATATAATTCCTCTATTTTTACTAATCCGTTGGTTTCGGAATCTCAAAAATTAAAATTGAAAAAATATTGCACAAAACTTTTTCTTTTAATCAATATGTGAAAAGTGTGACAACTAGCCCCGGTTTCCTCTATCAATTATCTGGATGTAATTTAATTCTGCATATTCTGTTTTGGTCTTGAAATATAAATATCCAAACTTTCAATATAAAAAAAATTATATATATTGAATGTATATCTATATATTTTATGTGGAAAGTTTAAATCTTAAGATTTTCCATATATCTTGCCAACGATTGTAATGAGTCAATAATTATATTGCTTACCTTACAAATTTATACTTTTACAATATCTTTCTATTTTCGATACGTGAATGAGTTTGACTGATGCTTGAGAAGGATACTCGCGTCCGCGAGGGGACGATTTACGCGCTTAACACGATACGATGACTACTTGGTGGCTAAAACAAAAGGATTGTGGAGTTGTTAATTGAAAAAAAAAAATAGTATCAAACACGACAGTAGTTATTATTTGGCGCGAGAGGCACTACAGCGATTCTCGTGCAATTCGGGTTTCAAGATCGACATTGCTGTCATGGACGAGCATGCTTGTTTGTTTGTCCGACTGCCACAACGCGCGAGTAGTCGATACTCATGTCATTGACAGAGCTATGCGGCTTCAGACTCTTGCAATTTTTATTACGTACCATTCGGTCGCAATCGATGTCACGGAACCACTATCGCGCGGTTTTATCTTGCGAAAAGTGTTTGTACGTGGCTCGTGCCATGGGAGAAGAACACGAGGAGCGTGGCTGGAAACTTGGATCTCAGAGAGATCGCGACTGCGATCTCTCGAGCCTCGTGAACGGAACGAGATGATTCACGCGACGAGCACGGAGAATCTGACGTTTACATGAAATACATTACGACACGAGATGCCTTCTAAATATTGAGAGCGACAAAAGCCAAGGGGAACGAGGTCCAAGAAATCTCGCAGCCGCCAAGGAGAAGGCGGAGCACGCGAGAAGAAGACGCTCGTGCGCGGAAGGTGGCGGACGGGGGCAAAAATGAAACAAGCAATGTGGAAAGTTCTCGTATCATATTTTGCGGCCACTGTTCACAATCGAAGTAAGTGCCCCGGCGGTGAAATATAAGTGGACTCCGCCGCTCCCGAGAGTTCGCCCGGGCTGTCCATTTTTTGCAGGTTCCGGAAACCGTGACGTTGCCAGAACACATCCGCTCGGCGAGGGAGAAAGAGAGCGCGCGCAAGGGGAGAAACGAGACGACGTTCTGTCGTTGCGTAATGCGTGCGCGAGTGTGAGAGAAGGCTGGAGGGAAGAGGAACAAACGTCGTCGGTGCACTCCCGTGAAACCACGGGCGTCGCTTTGTGCGGACGTACAGATAGCAAAAGTTCGTCGCGTCGCGTCGGCCGCGGGAATGTTGCGAAAAATCGCGGAGAGACCACGCTGGAATTCCCCGGAGAAGTCATGGCGACAACGACGACGACGACGACGACGACGACGACGACGACGACGACGACGACGACGACAAGGGGAGAGGGTGAAGAGCCCCCGATAGTTAGAGGGTGTCACGAGTACGAGGGCGACCTTATTACACCTAATCCTGCGGAGCTTGTGTACAACTCAGCTTAATTCTACGCGGTAATCCTCTCCCGCGGTTTCGACTAGAGTAAAGTTTCCGATTCCGATTAAGATAACGCGGCGACCTATAATCGGCGCCGGGTATTCCGGATAATCGTCGCGCTGGGCAAGAGGAGGGCTGAAAGAAAACGACGGCTATCCTCATTAAACGTGAAGGAGCACGAGCGCGACGAGTGTGTCGCGCGACGTCCCTTTCCGAAAAACTACGAGACGACGACATATTTACTCCGATCTTACATCCCGATATTGGCGCGAATTCAATGGCTCGAAGAGCTAAAAGTGTCGCATCTGCAAATAGAGGGAAAGAACGTAGGTTAAAAAACTGGCTCGACGCCATTCCTGCCGCGGACGACGCGGGCGTCCGTCGAGAACGACAGCGGACGACGCGCGGATAGAAATGTCGGCGGGGGGGGAGGGGGGGGAGAGACTACATAATTACGTATCGCGTAATGACTACGTGAAGGGCTATGAACGTGTGACCATGCACTGCCTAAGGGAGGTATATTCGTTGCTCTTACTACGATCAGTTATTATTATCATTTACCGATTTCACTGTATCGATTTCACGATTATCATTGTACTTAAACAAAAGGCACCATAAGTGAGCTCGTAAAAAGCCTGTTTTGTCCATCTACTTTTCATTGATCTTACTTTTTCTTTCTTTCTCTCTCGCTCCTCCTGCTTTTCTTTCGTTTTTTTCTTTCTCTTTCACGATAGCCTATGGGCCTGCGGGACTAGTTCATTATGACTATTTTTGTGCGAGTCACGACGACTCACAGAGATCAGTCTTCGAATATGATTCACAACCTCTACGACGTATAAATATAAAATATATATCATATATACACGCGCGTCGGCAGAAGAACGTTTTGCACCATCTTTCAGTCGCGCGGAGATTAAGGAACGCGAGGGATCACGAAGATCTGTCGATAATGTGAAATACACGTTTCTGCAAGTTCTTCTTACGAAAGATCTATTTTTTCAGTGTTTCAAATAGAGGATTTTCAAGTCTTACAATTGAGACAATTTGCGAGTTTGTCCTTGAGCTGGACTCTCTTGTGAGAAGAGATTCCCGGGATAACATGAATGGTGCAGAACGCGTTTCGCGCGACACGTGTATGTAAAATTACTCCTCAATATATTGTCTTGCTGCGCTCACAGCGCAGACGATAGCCGAAAAATACTAGTGTCCGAAAAGCCGGAAATCCGGAAACCCCGCCGCGCCCGAGGAAGCCGAGGATCGGCGAATCCCCGGCGAGTCCTCGGGCGGCCGGTGTGACTCGAGGATTTCAGCGTGACGGAGGCGACGATTACGGGATCGGGAGCCCGTCCGTAATCTTGGAGGAACGTTAAAACTCATCTTTCCGTACTCGGAACTCGGTACTCTCTACGCGCACCAAACGATCGACGGGGAGGTAGAAGACGATTATAAAGTTTTGTACTCGAATTATACTTTCGCTGAGATCTCTCCGGCCATTGATTCTACGTGAACAATCCACTGATACGTAAACCTAAAGAGGAGCCTCGGCTTCTTCGCGGCGGAAGAACGGGCCCTCCGCGTCTCTTACTCGTTAGAGTTAAATATTAGTATCTATGTGAACGCACGAGAGAATAAATACATTTGTGTAAATATTACTATAAATATAAAGGAAAAAAACGCGCGCAACACAGCACGCTAATCTATGATCCAGTTAGTCGCGCGGCACGACGATGGGATGGCACATCCTGCTTAAAATGGCGGCAATAGAGAACGATAGAAAATGCTGGCTTTCCTTTCTGATAGCGACTTTGTATCGTCCCTTTCTTTCGGAACGCATTTCAGAGATTTCAAAAGTAAATTGTATTACATCATATCCTTTGTAAGTATATATTAAAGCATATAATTAACATATATTTACAAAGGATACGATAGTACAATTTACTTAGGAAATTTCTGAAGCGCGTCCTGAAGAAGGAGATGCAAGGTTCGCATTGAAAAGAAGAGCATTTTCCACTATCTTCTCTACGCACCATTTTAAGCAGGGTAGGTGCTTCGTGCGCGTCAATCATGGCCGATTGCAATTACTAAATTACGCGCTGATGGCATCGCGCACGATGACGATGAGACGCGCGTTCTGATCAGCGCGTCACTCTCAACGGTGATCGGCTCTTTCTCTGCGAATGCATGCGCGCGCGAATTCCACCAAACTTACACCATTATGATAAAAAATAAATTATGTACCGAGAGATCCGCGCGGAATCGAAGGATCCAAGCATCCGTGGACGACAGGTCCGAGGATGAGTGGAGACCCAGAGAATTCTGGGATCCTTGCTTAGTCCCGCGGTTCGCTTTAGTTTGCACGTGGCGCACGTTACGTGTGACGTGCGACTCGAGTCGGCCACTAGGTGTATTTCACATCACTCGGGGTGAAGAAACCCGACTTCGGTTTCGTTAAGAAATGCTTGTGCTGCAAGCGCATAAGCGACGGCACCAAGGACGAGTGTTTCAATTTCATGTGCCTTTTGAGATTGTCGGACCTGGTCAACGATATCATACAGATTTCGCATTGGTACTTTTCGGGATAGTGCGATTTCATGTGCTTTTTTATGTTGGTCACGCTCTTGCCGCACATGTTGCACCTCGTGCTCTGCGGATGCTCTAACTTAGTGCGATTGTCTCTACTTATATCCTTCTCTTTTTTGTAAGTCCTTGCTGTTCCTGGAATACAAGGTCCCGATTTCAATGAAATTTGTCACAACCCACTCGACAATGCCAACTGTGTCTACTAATATCACCCTAAGATACACAAGGATGGTCGATTCGACGTTATCACTCTTTCTTTTTCTTCTCTGCGCAGTGTTTGGAGATGTTACTCAAGTGTCTCGTTCGATTGAAAAGAATCCCGCCGCGCCTGATTAACCCGGCGATGAAAAATACTATGTACGTTGTTACAGTCTGCGCGTAAAGTCTCGCCGTGTGTATACACACATTTGCGTAACTTGGAGACGGAATAGAAACGCGAATTTAACGACACTAAAAAGTGTCTAAGATAAATATTAAACCGTTTTTTTTCAAGGTTACCAACCGCGCCTTTTTACGATGGCGTATAAACGTAATAGCTTTTTCTCGCATTATACTGGAGTTATACTGGATGCAACATCAAGGATTTCATCTTTTTTCCTTGCTATAATATGCAAAAAAAAAACTAAAAGAGTGTCTGCATATCCGAATTAAAATATCTTCTAAAAAGAAAACGTCTCGAACTTAAATAGACAATTTCATCATCTCTATGAGAAAAAGACGAATATTTACTCACTAATAAAAATGCAATACATTAAAAAATAAATAAATTCTAAAATTAAAAAAATTCAATAACATGGATGTGAAACGTTAAATATAATCGCGCGCTTTATCCCACAACTTTCTAAAATATTATCCTTCAATTCCTTCCTTAACGCGATAAAATTATCGTTGCGACAAAAAGAAAACATTTTCGAATGATAACGTTAAACGGAGCATCTTGTATACTTCTCATAAGTCACACTCTACGCCAAATGGTTGCAGAAAGGAAGAAATTCTTTCAATTACGTTTCAAGTCAACGAGGATATCATTACGAACACCACACTTGTCCTTATTACAGGGTAACGTACTTGGATGGAACTACTTGATTTTCTCTCTTGTCCTCACAAGCGCGCAGGAGAGAGAGCTCTACTTGCACCGAAAGGAATAGAGTATACGCGTAAGAACAAACCAAGAAAAAACAAGGACATGAGAACTCAAAGAAACGAAAAGTCACGACTTATTTGCGTCTATATCGAGAAACAAGATAGAAAATCGATTAATTCCAAAAGGACCTCGCCCTGCAGTGCCTTAATCTCTAATTTACCTACTCTTACCAAATGTCAAAGTAAACTATGTAAAAGAAAGCGCATTTCTACTGTCATCTCACGCATCGCGTTCCAAGAGACTAAAGATGCTGGCACAATACGTACAGGAGAAATAAGAAAAAGAAGAAGTATAAGAGGAAAGGAGGAGAAAAGAAAGGAGAAATTCAAACCAAGAAGAACGAAAGAATAGAGAAACCCAAACGAATAATAATATTCTCAACGCGGGGAGAACCTCCACGAGAAGAGACATTTGTCGATGTCAGCATATTTAGCGCAAACAGTAAACATCGCGAATACGGACTATCGACTTTGTCCTCAGCTCTTAAACACCGCCCATGCGTAAATTAGTCCGTAGATCGAACGCGTACGTGCCGGCGACCGTTGCAACAACGATGCAGCTCATGCAACATTTCAGCTGACTATGGAATATATAATTGAACGACGACGACAACGACGACGACGACGACGACGACGACGACGATAAAGAAAAAGACGACGACGACGATGATGAAGAAAAAAACGACAACGACGACGGTAATGACGATGATGACGACGGCGACAACGACGACGACGATGACGACGACGACGACGACGACGACGACGACGACGACGACGACGACGACGACGACAAAGAGGTTGCTACAAGGTCGAGAATACGATAGATAAATGGAAAATAGCGTTAACAACAAAATTGAATTAATGAGCATTTAATCGCGTACATATATCTTTCGGTTTCATACATAATCGTTAGGAGGAAAAAAGTGATGCCCAGGGTTACGAGCTCTCCTGCTACTGACGTCTATTAATGCATCGACGATGCGCAGCGGAATAGAGAGTCGTGTGACTATAAGTAAGCGTGACGTATTAATGATGCGGACTAACGACGGAGGAAATATCTCATTTTTAATATAAAAGTGCCCGAACCATCGAATCTACCTACGCTTGATTCTGCTGACGCTGTGGATAGAGCAATAGAATGCGGAACCATGGATCCCAAAATTTCTGACCAAAATCCTCGATTTCAGAGGTCTCGGATCTTTCGATTCCGAGATCTCGAAAGATTTTGAATTCCGACCTTAGGACGGACGCTGAGAATTGCCGGATCTTTGGATCCTGCTTGAATAATAATCGCGTTCAGCTAGCGTATCCATATTCATCTCGACCATTGTAGTCATCGCGAAACGTGTATATGGAAAACGTCTTACGTAACGAGTTCTTCCCGCGGCGCGGCAACTTTATTAACGCAACGGCGGATTGCGCAACGACGGGAGATGTGCGCCGGCTACATTTTTGTTGCTAATATTCTCGTTCATTTCGTGCAGATCAAAACGAACAGCGCAAAGAGAGACGTGAGAATGTAAGATCAAGATCGCTAGGCACGGTGACGCAAGATACGGGCAGAGGGCACGTAAGAGAGGGTATAGAAAAATAATTAAGTAAAAGAGACAACAGGAAAAAAAAACCAGTGTGAAGCATGCACAGAGAATCCCGCCGTGGTACGCGCGCATATATGCATATGCCTGCGTATACGTGCGCGCAGTATACGTTATATATGCCATAATGTCTATATATGTATATATATATATATATATATATATATATATATATATATGTATATATATATATGTGTGTAATATATGATATAATGTTATGTACATACGTCGCGTCCCATACACGCGCACACACGGTACTAGCGAGTGCGCGCACTCACGCACGCACACACACGCGTACCAACGACACATTCTCACACGCATTCGCACAATATGGAGTTCGTTAGGGAGTGTGACATCACGCACATGCACGCACGCACACGCGTCCGCGCACGTGTAAGAACAGCGAGATGAACTCAGTCAGTCACACACGCGCAACCCACACACCATCGCAGTATTTCGAACACAAAAAAAAAATAGGAAAGAAAAAAAATAGAGAATTAGAAGTACAGTCCATTTGCTGATATACACCATGTCCCAACTAACGAGTTTTGTTATATATATATACATATATATATGTGTTTTTCTCGGAATGTATATATATGTATAATATATTACACACGTAATTAAAACTACCACAATGACGTAGCAAATGCACGATACCATCACCACAACACCAAAGGTCATGTAATATACATATGTAGTTAGAGATATTATATATATATATATACACACACACGCACGCGTGTACGTCGGCATGTGTGTGGATATATGTATATATATATGTGTATATATATATGCGCACATACACATATACATGTACATAGAAGAGAAGGTCTTTCACTTTCTAATGTTACACTCACTACACTTGATCAGATTTGGAAATAGAGGGATGCTCGCTTCGTACGACACCTACGTACGACTCGACGTGACGTCAAAGTTCTTGCAAACGTGCATGCAGATCTCCCTCGATTTCTTAGATGTAACATATTTCCCGCGCGTCGAAATGCGGAGGAACCCGCGACAACACCGGAAACACGGTGGTACTGCACGTGTAGACGCGAAGAGGAGCTCGTCGCGGAGATCATCGGAGACCGCGAGATACTTTGCGAGCGAGAGTAACGCGGGATACAACGCGTCGCTTAAATATCCGTGTCGCCGTCGCGATTTATTCATTTCACGAGGCGCGTAATAACGAAACCGATCGCTCAATCGCGCCCGCGACAAGTTGAAATGTATCGTATCTTTCGCGTATGCAACGTCTTCGCGCGCGCGCGCGCGCACACGCACGATACACGCGAATTACTCGTAGAGCCGAACGGCTCGATACAAAAAGGAAATATGTTAGATCTAAATGAAATTTTGGTTGTAAAGAATATATTGTGCATTCTTACCATCGAGTCCGTCGAGCATCTCCGGTGGATTATGGTGCTCAGATGATTCAATCCCCTGAACACCGTCGCTGAGCGCACCCGTTGTAGGTCCTCCGTCTTCTCCTATCAGTCCAACTGGGTGACCCTGCACACGATACGGTCATATATTTATAAATAAGCGGACGATAACAACGAAAAAATGCATGTTTTGTGTATTCTTTGCTTTTCCTTTCTTTTCACATACAAGATTTTTCTCTACGACTTTACATTCACGTTACTCGAAATCCTAAATAATATCCTCCTTCGCGACAGAATGTCCTTAAAATTAAAAGTAAAGCGGAAACATTGAAAGTATATATTTGCTTTTTAGTTTATACACATGTTTGTACATAATATTTATTCCTTGAATGGACGTTATATATAATTCCACGTATTTAATAGAAAAATTAACATTTAACGAGAAGCATATAGCTGATATAGAGAGTGAAACGTTTTCACTTCTAAATAATCAATGCTGGTCCTCGATTTCACGCGTGAGGTAATTTACTTCTTCATAAGAAACACATCGTTTTGAGACGATGTGCGCTTTGGCATCTCCCTTCTTTTTATCGTACATTAAATAATCTACCAACATGTATAACTATAAACATGTATACATCCTTCTCACGAAATGCAACAAATATAATTTCCCTGTGCAGTTTCCATCTCACAAACATTCCAGCTTATCGTAAGTAAAAACATAATGTATTAAATACAAAACAGATATCGTATATCTCGTCTTAAAATTATGCAACTCTCGAGACCGTATCACCGATCCTTTCATATATCATTTAAATGTACAATTACACAATTCAACAAATGTACAACACTGTCATCTCGTCGAACATTATATTTACATGTGTCCCTTCCTTTCCATTTAAATGAGCAAAGACGATCACAAGTTCAGTAGGCATAAAAAAGACGTGACACGAGACGTGAAAAAGGTCGAAACTAGCACGTCTTGGTCGCGTAAGCGTAACTTTCTTTCGCCTCGCTGTCCTTAACCACGCACAGGTTATGTGCTTTGCACTTATCGTGGTGGTTCACGATCTCGAGTCGAAAATTGCCGTTACCCGCCGCGAAAGAAGTGCGAATTTCCGGTATCGATTCGCTCCACTTTCTGCAGTATTTGCAAAACATAAGGTTCAATCGTTCGTCATACTGCAGCCATGAATACAGATCTAACCAGCCGGGCTTGAATCTACTGGCCTTACGAGTACTTTGCGTAGCGGAACGCTGCAAGGTCGCGCACAAGGTCGACTGAATTACAGACATTCCCACTTCCTGATTCGTTCTCAGCGATCTGTGCGCGTCATTCTCAGGCGTTTTAACATTCGGACCGCATTCGGGCAACGACTCGTAAGATTGGGTCAGATCACGGTTTTCATTTTTGTACGAGTGGTGCGAGTTCGCGGGCGCGACCTGACTCTGTAGCGGATTATGCGAATTCTCGGAGAATTCAGGCGCAGTCCCTGACATATTGATACATAGAGAACCTCCAGCCATGACGGCACTTTCGCGAGAAACTTGCACCACAGCCATATCTGGACGATTGGGAGTCATGTTCTGTACATCCACAGTTTCGTCACTCTTCCCATTTCTCTGAACCTCCCACTCCATACTAGTCTGTCAACAGAGAAGGAAAGGATATGTGTTTAATCAACACATTTCGATCGAATCTCTTTCAACATACGAAAAGCCAATTCCGTAATCTCTAATTAGAAAATCCCTTCCTTCCCATGTCTGTTCTGACTGAGTAGTTTGTAGGACGACGGTAGGTAATTCGTCATCAATCGTGGGAACAGTAACGAAACTCTGTTACGGGGAAAAATTATCTCCGCGATATCGCGAGAACTTCGCACCTCTTTCAGGAATGTACGAAGTGCCTTATAAGCGAGAAGCGTGTAGCGCCTTCAGGGAGAAATATACGAGCAGAAAGAAGAAAGTATCTTAATCAACACATAGGATCGGAGAAACATGCGGGAATAAAACACACTGCATCAAGACTAGCCTCGTTACGCAAACAACTCGCACCACAGAAGCACTTTATACGTGCGTTACTCTCAAATCAATCGATATGTGACAATTTTAAAAAATACAAGTATTATATGTTGAAACGTTATCATCGTCTGGAAATCATGCGCACATCAAGTAATGTTGCATGTAACACACGTGTATTCCATTTAAAAATTACAGGGAGATGCCATAAAGTTCTTCATGTAACATTAGCGATAAAAATACTTTGTGACTCACGTAGTCTATATATAGTCTATGTAATTTCCAAAGTAAAAATAAACAGTTATTTTTATCTTTATTACACGATCTATGTTAAATACATAGATAATGACAGTTTCTCTACATGATTGCATAAGTGATAAATAACTTGGAATATTTATAAATAGTTTATCAAAAGAAAAAAAAAGATACATACATTGTGTTGCATGTGATTACACAAAACATGCAGAGTTTATAAAGTTTAAACAAAGTTAGCAGTTTGCACAAAACCATATAATTTATGAAGTGAAACGAATACATGTAAAACATTACAGATATGAGAAACAAAAAGATTAACTAACGTGGAAATGTAAAATGTATAAGTACAGAAAGTTACTTACAGGGAGGGAAATATTGTCATGGAAGTCAGGCAAGTGGTGATCCACCTCTTGTTTTATAGGAGCCTGCGGTTGTGATGCAGGGGACATGGGTCGACCACCATCTTCCATATCAACTCCCAGGGCATTATTTAGCTTTGGAATCACAGGAGGACTTGATTTGTAACTACACTGCGAGGATGTCTGAAACCAATTAATTGAACACTTTTTTCTAACCTTCAAAATGTCATCACTCCTGCCTCACATTATTAACACATTTGATTACGAAACTCTCTTCATAAAAACAGAACACAAATGGATGAATTGCTTATAAAGAAAATAATAAATTAATTTTATTAATAAATTTATATGAAGTATCTAAAGTAAAGCTATCACAATATCTTCACGGTTAAATGTCACATGTTATTGCGGAGCAGATGGATTATATGTCCTTATTATGCATATGTGTGTGTGTGTGTGCGAAAATATAATCTCTCTGCATCAAAATATATATAGAAAGAAGTAGAAAGTTATGTTACAGTAATATCTGTATAGTGAATTGCAAGACAGATCTTAACTCTAACCTTCAAGGTTACACAAGAAAAGTTGTTTGGAAAGCTGTGCAATCATGCACACACATAATTCATTGATAATAAAGTACATCATAAACAGAGTCTCAAGTCATGGCACAAATATGAGTTTCCAATATATATCATTCAACTGCAACATAATAATGAGCAAAATAAGAAGTCCTTGTACTATTCATAAATGACAAGTAAAATGTCAAGAAAATGCTTGCAAGTAGACAGTTAGATTTGCACAAGTTTAAAAAGAGTACGCTGCATCATTTTGTTTCAGAATAATTTGATTAAATAGAATGTATCATTAAAGATATATGTGTGTTAAAGTATATGTGTGATAAGTTTCATATCAAGTAACACATGTGTATGTTGAATGTGTGAAAACATTGAAAAGGAAGGAACTAAAGTAAGACATATGCCATCTACTCCACAATACAAAACAGCATGATGGCGTTTACATACCTGAGAATCAGATAAGAACCGTTCACTAGGTGGGCCAGTAAGGGAAACATCATAGCTGCCTGAAAGTTTTCTTTTCCTTTTCTCAGGATGAGACTGGAGGTTAGGCGAATCAGTATGTCTGATTCCGGTTTGCGTTTCTGGCTCTGGCGATGGACTCTTTTCCTCCGTCTTGTTATTTACACTATTATCAGTGAGGCCTCTGATCTGCAATGCCTCTGCTGTTTTCAGGAACATGGGTAGCAGATGCTGACTAACGTTAACTTCGCCCTTATACATAAAGTGCAGCAATGCCCTCATCTCCTTGTCATTCACATCCTTAAGGAATATGATTGGATGGGGATGGGTGTTCTGTAGGAAAATGCTCTCAAAATACGGACTGCATGCAGAGAGTATCGTCTGGTGTGCTTTGAATGTGTCTCCAACACAGGCCAGGGTCACATCACAGAGTGCTTCTCTTTCAAGCAGCGAGCTGAGAACGTCTGTGAGGTTGGCTGGATGATTGTTCCACCGTAGGCAATACTGCTGGTCCATCTTGTCTATCTCCAATCCCGACCCTACAACCAAACTAGATGCCCTGAACTGTCTACATAAAACTATGCTCACCCTGGCTACTTGAGTGCCTCCCTAACCCTTAAAACGCTAACTCACACACTACTTCCACGCGCACTCTCCTGTCGCCCTGACAATATCTCCCCGCCGATTAAATCGCGACTCTAGACCCACACAACGTCCTCCGTGCTTCTGCAAATGTGCCACATTGCAGTATAACTGTAAAACCCTTCAGGGTTCACGCCGAGCTACTATACGTGCCGAAAACATTTTTTCGCATAACCTCAGCGCCCGACCGTGCTAACCCGCGCCGGATTTCTACGCGATAAGCCACGACACGGCAGTCGCGAGGTTAGACCGCTAATTGCGACGCAGTATGTGCCACCCACGTATACGATAATAATCCGATATATTCGGAGGTAATGTTTTCGGCAATGTCAATATTCGCGAGGCTTGGGCGCCATTGTCGGCCGTGCTCGTCTAGCCTCCACGAGCCTCCTCGCGAAAACTCGATTTGTTGATGCCCGGATTTCTAACCACTCGTGCCAGCCTGGCCGCACCGTTTTATTTACGCGAACACACCGCGAGTTACGCGCCGCACATCGCGCACCGTCCGCGATACGTATTCCCGATCGTGCACGTCGATTACTCACCTTTCGCAAACTTTTTGCCATTACAACGCCACCCGACCCTTAACGTCCACTGCCATACCAATCTGCCAATGCCTACGGCCTTATTTTTAAAATACTTCTGACCTTCGTGCATCTGCCGCGGGGAATGGCGCGAAGGGCGCTCCGATTCAAACGCGGTTAAGAGCCGACCGCGTGCTCGCCCGGACTGCGAGCGAGATGCTGCGTCGTGCGCGATACCGCGACATTCTCGTGGTTCTATATATCGCGCGAGAATACGGACAATTTACTCCACGCTCGCCGCCATATCGATCCGCGATGCCGCCGCTCTTATATTTCCCAAATAATGCACACTTTCGCACGTCAGCCGCGCGTTATGGCGCGCGGAGCGCTCAATTCAAACCGCTCTACGGTGTGTCGTGCGTTATACCGAAATATTTCTCCTACTTGTTGTAATTAATATCTTACGTAGAGATCAGTTTCAGTGTAAAAAGCGCGCGTGCGTCGTTAGACGCGTCGTAATTCTCATGTATGTCTTTCGTTTCGGCAAAATGATCAATTTTATGTTTTAAATTTTGAAAAAAAAATATTGAAGGTATTTTCCATCATTTTGTAATACGTTTTTTTTGGTAGAAAAATAGAAAAGTCTATGAAACAAAAAAATATTTCAATAAGATATCGAAGTTTGATATAAATTTAAAACGCAAAATTTTAATTTGAAAGAAATATTGGAAATATTTTCAAACAATTTGTAATATGCTACTTTTAGATAAAAAATAAAAAAAATATCTATGAAACGTAAAGATATTTCTACAAAATATTGAAGTTTAATACAAATTTTTTAATTTTTAATTTTGAAAAGAAAAAAATATTTTCAATAATTTTATAATTTTTAGTTGTCTTTAGGTAGAAAAATATAAATATCTATGAGATAAAGGTATTTCAATAAAATATTGAAAATTGAATAAATTTGCTAATGCAAATTTTTCTAAGTGTTTCTAAGCGTTAATTGCACCGATTTTTTACGGACGTTTAATGTCTGTTTGTTATCAATGATTTGGCGCAGTGAAGTACATGAAATAGTCAATATATTTATTAAACAAAAAGAAAATACATCAAAACTTAGAAGACGTGAATATATCTCAATAAGCAATTGCAGGATAATAGAAATTTGTCCAATATAAATTTTTCCAGCAAGCATCGATTATAATAATTTTCTTTTTAGAAACAATTTGCTTTAATCTATTGTTAACGAGAGAATGATGTATTTCACGATAAATATATAAAATTGCCGGACTATTTATCGAGCTTGAACGAATGCACCGAGATAAACGTCCTTATCTTGTTTTCATCGTGCCAACCGTGATAATTGCAGTACAAACCGTGCTCTTCCTGAGCAACGTAAAAATTCCGATAGGATTTCAGCAGCGCGTAACACGCAGAGTAAATAAAGTGGTCGCACGCCATATTCACAGAGTTGGTGCATTTTCGGACGGTCCCCCTCAATATAGTAACTTAATTTCGCCTATTCTCTCGCGCCGCGGTCCGGCTGTGCCTAATTTAACGCATACGTTTATTACAAAGCCCAGCCTGCGGTAAGAAGTTGGATGGACGCGTACGTTGAAATACACTTGACATTTCCGAGGCGAGTATGCCGTTCGTGCTCAAGTAAATCGTGTCAGACGACGAATGAAATTCCCATCGGGTGAATACCGATGCGATTTTAATATCAGGGTGCATTTCTCCCCGTCCCTGCGCTCTTTTTACCTCCAAGTAAACGGGTTTCGGAAAAGTCCCCTCGTAAAATACGCGACTCACTTTGCGTCCCTTTACTCTCTCGCTCATTCCTCTCACTCCGCTCTATGACGGCGCGTATGAAAAAGAATAGCCGTATTTAAAGCACCCAGCTTGACAAGG